AAGTCTAACACAGGTGTGGCTGATTAATCAGAATACTACTTTTGACTAGTCAGATTACGTTTTAAATTGATAGTAAGAATTACTTTAGGAATTATTACTATTATAATATTATATATTATAAAAGAGGGGGTGAGGAGAACAGTTAGAAAACAAAACTCCCACAGCCAAAAAAAATCCAATAAAAGAAAAATTGAGGGAATTCCCCTCCAAAGAACAACAATAACAACAACAACAACAAAAAACTGACAAGAAAAAGACTCAGTGGCCAGTCCCCCTGGGATATGTCAGGGACACAGAAAAGAATTAATAGTAATAATATTAATAGTAATAATTACTTTAAATAGGAATTATTACTATTATTTTAAAACATAATCTGACTAGTCAAAAGCAGTCAGATTAAGGAGCAGAATACTAGTGTTAAAGTATTAGCACTTGTTATATTTCAGGCACTTAATTAATACACTAACATGCATTATCTCATTCCATTTTCTTCTTCTTTCTTTCTTTTTTTTTTTTTTAGACAGAGTCCCACTCTGTTGCCCAGGCTAGAGTGCAGTGGCGCGATCTCGGCTCACCACAACCTCCAACTCCCAGGTTCAAGCTCCTGCCTCAGCCTCCCGAGTAGCTGGGACTACAGGCGTGCGTCACCATGCCCGGCTAGTTTTCGTATTTTTAGTAGAGACGGGGTTTCACTATGTTGGCCAGGCTGGTCTCAAACTCCTGACCTCCTGATCTGCCCGCCTTGGCCCCCCAAAGTGCTGGGATTACAGGCGTGAGCCACCGTGCCCAGCTATCTCATTCCATTATTACACCAGCTCTGAGAGAAACATCATCATTATTATATATGTAAAGGAACAAAAACTTTTAAGTTTGTGTTTTTTTTTTTAAATCTACCCTATAAAATTGAAGTGCTGAAATTCAAACCTAGATCTGAATCCCCATGAGAGACTGCCCTCCTTAGCACGGAGGGCTTCTAAGTCTCCGGCTTTTCTAATTCCAAAGGAGTTTTTCCTTCTGGCTTAATTCTATACCAGAAAACTGAGGATACCAGGAGGTTCCAGATAACTGAGGTTTCACTTTACTAAGCTATGAAAGCAGGGGAAATGCGTTTTGGGATGGTGACTTTCTACACACTCTACATGACTATGCTTTCAGAAGTGAAGGAGATCTGGGCGTCTACACTGCGAGTCAGTCTGGTACTCGTGTCACTCAGACACACATCATGCCTCTACAGGCAGTGACAGTTCTCTCTCTGTAGGGCTGTTGGGGCCATGTAATGATAAGGACTTTGGTTTTATTAGTGCTACGATTTACTAAGCTAGGCAAGCAGTCCAGCTCGAAAAGGACAAACGACATGAAACACCAACAACTTTCTAACACGTACACAGCATGTCTCTGCCTTTAAAGTGTAGATAACAACATGAAAACTCCAAGTACTTTCTGTAGACCCACAACCCTCCTACTCAGCGGCTAGGCCCCCCGGGATGTGTCAGGCACACAGAAAAGGGGACCGCAGTAGACATTCTGGCCTCATAGAACTTATTTGGGGTGGCGGGGGAACAGCAGAAACAAGTAAACAAAGTAATGACAGGTAACAGCAGAGGTCATGAAGGAACCATACAAATCAATTACTTGGGATTACCGAAGGAGCCGTAAGGCAGTCAAACAAGTCTTCTCTGAGGTGGTGATGCCCTGAGGTGGTGACACTGGCATTAAGATCTGACAATGAACCCACCACAGGAGCCACCGAAGGACACTGTAGGCAAACAGAACTCCTGTGTCAAAGGTGGCGAAGCAGGAAGCAGCTCAGATTGCTGAGGAACAGAAAGGCTAGGGCAGAACCCAGGTTAAGGCAGAGATGGTTGTTCAAGATGAGAACTAGGGAGAAATGAAAACACATTTCAGAACTCGGCAGAAATGCTACAGTCGATGAGAAAGGGTTTGGATTTTTGGCTGGGCACAGTGGCTCACGTCTGCAATCCCAACAATTTGGGAGGCAAAGGTGCGAGGATCACCTGAGTCCATGACATCAGGACCAACCTGGGCAACATAAGGAGACCCCCTCTCTACAAAAAATAAAAAAATCCGCTGGGCATGGAGGCATGCACTTGTGGTCCCAGTTACTGGCGGAGGGGGTGCTGAGGTGGGAAGATAGCTTGAACCTGGGAGGTTGAGGCTGCAGTGAGTCCTGATGGTGCCACTGCACTCCAGCCTGGGCATCCAGAGTGAGACCCCCATCTCAAAGCAAAACAAGAGTTTGGATTTTACCATAAATACATATTCATTACAACACTGTGAGATAAATTATCCCCACTTTAGCCCCAGTTGAGGAATAAGACTCAGAGGGCATACACAACGTGTTCAAGGTCACAGAGCTGGTAAATGGATGCCCCCCAACATGTCCAGAGTGTGCAAGGTGGGAACTGAAATCTTACGTGACTTTATCTAAGTATGTTTGTTCTCAAAACATCAAGACCAATGGCCACCTAAAAGTAACTGCCCCAACTAAGTAAAATTTAATGTTTGTATGGGTGGGTAAAGACCTGAAATCAGTTTAAGTAAACTGTGTTCTCAGTCCTAAAGCCATCACGACTTATTAGCTAAACCAACACGCCAAACAGCATACTAAATTACCCATAAAAACATTAATGACAATTTCACTTCAATATCAAACACGTCTTGTTATTCCTCTTTTAACAGCTGAAGAATTATTACTATCAATCTATCCATATAAGAAAGTTTCTCCTTTTTATAACATATACTAGTATTAGGAATTTCTCCCTTGTAAAATGAATAATTTTACAAAAGTACTTCGGCACCACAGATGAAAATATAATTTCCAGAATTGGAAGAGGTCAGGGATGAGGCCAGAGAACTATAATAGACAATTCTTACTTCCTACAAAGGATGAAATAAACAGAAAACAGCAAAAGGAGATCTTTTTAGTTCATTTGCTTATCTAACTTTATTAAGCATTAAAATAGAATGTATACACATCCATTAGCTATACTGGATTATAAATGAAGTATTTGACCTCACGCTTCCAAATACATATGCATTTATGTGTGTATTATCCTTTCTCGTAGTGCATATTTTCAAGAGAATAACAGTAATTGCATCCCAATAAGCCCACGATAAATTGAAAGTATCTTAAAGTCAAAACTCACAGTGGATTTATCTGGATCTAAGTCGAGATGCATACTGAATGTGTATCGTTTTTGCTCCATCAAAAAGTCAAAAAGTTCAAAATTGGGGACCATCTATATGTTTGGACTTTTAAATGAGATCACATCTCTATGAGCAAAATAAAAGATATGATCAATAACCCAAAAGTTTCCTGAAAACTGGCCACAATGGAGAAAACTAGCAAGGAGTTTTCTGAGGCGTGTAATTACACAAGACAGGCTTAAGGGGACACTTGCAGGCTGGGTGTGGTGGTTCATGCCTGTAATCCCAGAGCTTTGGGAGGCTGAGGTGAGAGGATCTTGAGGCCTAGAGTTTGAGACCAGCCTTGGCAACATAGCAAGACCTCACCTCTCCAAAAAACAATCAGCCAAGTTCGGTGGCACATGTCTATAGTCCAAGTTACTCAGGAGGCTGAGGGAGGTGGATCACTTGAGCCCAGGAGTTCAAGGCTGCAGTGAGCCATGATTGCACCACTGCACTCTACCCTGGGTGACAGAGATAAAACAAAAAACAAGATTCTTGCTTTCTGTTTCCTTAAAAAAAAAAGGGGGCTTTTAAAGAGCGCCTTTTTTCCAGTTCTAATGCAAGAATGAAGAAAAACATTGGAAGGCAAAATGACTAGAAACGCAGTCAGTACAGCACCATTTTCCACCCTACGCCCAGTCAATGGCTCTCAAATTCCTTCCCTGCCACTCCCTGTGGGCAGGGGGTAGGGGGGCACCAAGAGAGGAGGTCATGGGATGACCTGAGGGTGTGCCCTTGGTTCGGAGGCCCTGCTGAAGAGAAAGGGGCAAGACTACCAATTTAGAGGGTCATTTAAAAGATAACGATAAAGGTAAGAGAGAAAAAGTGTTTCAAAAGAGATGCTGAATGGAGTTTTAAAAATATACATTCAGGTGAATACCTGGCTCATCCTTACCCAGGCACAAGCGGAAAGCAAGCTCGGGTCAAACTCCAGATAGAAGTTCTTCCAGGAATCCTTATCAAATCCACTGTCCACCAACCAGCTTCCTCCAAGGCACCAAGGCAGGCTTAGGGAGGGTGTTGGAACCAAAGGGTTAAGGCCACATATTTAGTTTAGAGCTGAAAGGATCCTAGACCTTACCATATCCACGCGTGCACAAAATCCACTAGGAGGAGAAATTAGAAAGCCCACAGGAAAGTATTACAGACTTTTTTCCGGTTTTTGTGAAACCTGGTGAGCAATGCCACTCGTGTTTTTAAGTAAGGCTGACTGTCCACAACATTAAATATTCCACTTAAAATTCATTCATTCAAGTAAGCTAAATGGATTTAACGTTGTGGCAGTTGGTTAAAAAAAAAGTCAAGATAAATTGCTACCTTCTGTGGCTGAGAAGATGTCAGATATTTCATCTTGAAGTAGACCGTTTACTTTTGTTTGATTCCGAATGTATCAAATGTAACCAAATGTATCCCAAGGAACACAGTAAATTTAAAACGTCTCTGGGAGACGTTCAGTGTGTGTAATTCACGTTATTTCTGTCATTACTGTGTTCTCTGTCCTCAAGCACAGTGCATGTTGCCTTATCCGGGCAGACGTTGCAGAAACATTTGTTGAAATGAATTCAACATTATTTCTTTTGCTACCGGAAGACTGAGTTCTGCCACATATTCCCACCTGGCCCTTCATTCCAAACAGTGGGGATGGGAACCCCAATTTCACATTCCAACTGAACGACAAGTTGGCGCACACATTACCGCACACATCCCAAGTTTTGTGCCAGGACCTGCCCCTGAGAAACGTCCATAATGCTGCTCCGTGAGCCACAAGGGTGTACCTGAAGTTGCCAACTCCCGAAGCAAACTGAAAATTCAGGCCCGTGTCGGTCCCAGGAGCGGTTTAAATTCCACAATCGTCTCCTCCCTATACCCGGGTGAGTGCGCTGCCGGCCGGCGGCACCTTCAGCGGCAGAGCAGCCCCGGCCTGCACCTCCACCAGCGCCGGCGCGACCTCGCGGTGGGGCGGGGGCGTCCCCGAGTCCCAGCGCCGCGCCCCAGGCCCGCCCTCGCGCCTGCGGCCTCGCCGCGCCCCGACCCCGAGCCCCAGCCCGCGGAGGTCCGAGAAGGGACCCGGCCGGGACGCAGAGCCGCGGAGGCCCCGCGCCGCCGCCCAGGCCTCGCGGAGCCCCGGCCTCTCCCCGGCGAGCTGCGGGCAACAAAGGCGGCGGCCCGGGCCGGCGCGCCGCGGCCAAAGAGGCCGAGGGGTCGGGAAGAGCCGCCCGCGGCCGCGCAGGCCTCGGCCCTTCAGGGGCCGCCGCGCCCCGGCCCCGGCTCCCCGGTTCCCGCGTCCCCGCTCCCGGGCCTGGGCCCGGTCCCCGTTCCCTGTTCCCCGGCCCTGGCCCCCGCCCGCGCACCCGCCGAGACGGCGCAGGGCCTCGCGCTGCCCCAGACCCGCCGCTGCAGCCCCGCGCCCGGCGGCCTCCCCGGCCCGGCCCGGCCCGCGCCAGATCCGCCCCCTGCGCCCCAAGGCGAAAACCAGCCCCGCGGCCGGTGCCCCGCACCGCGAACGAGCCGAAGGCGGACGGCGAAGCCCGGCCCCTGCCGCCCGCCTGGGCTACCCGGACGCTCACCCGGAGGCGGCCCGGCTCCGCTTCCTCGCCCAGCGCCGGCGCGACTGCCGCGCTCGCCTTCTCTCTGCAACTCCTCCTCCCGCCTCCTTCCTCCTCCTCCTCCTCCAGGAGGGGCGCGCAGCCGCGGCGCCTCGGCCCGAGCGGGGAGCGGGTGCGGAGGAGCCGAGCGGGCCGCCCCGCGCCCACTACTCCCCTGCTGAAGAGAAAGGGGCAAGACTACCAATT